GGCACTGCTTGGTGCTTAAGGAGTGCTTTCCATCTTCAAAGTGCTCTGTGCACAGTATTTCATTATTTATACTGTTAATTATATTAGTACTTGTAAGGAAAAAGCCTCTTAAATTGTCGTAGATAAAAGTACACTCTTAACAGGATAGGAATTCAGTGCTTAAATTGTAGCAGATAATTTGTCCACTGAGGTACGGTGCCGCGGAGAAGACGTAAGGCGGATTCACAGCAGTTCTTTGTCTACCAAAAAGTCTTGCTTTATGTTTAAAGCAGTAATACCTGGGAGCTCTAAAGTGTCCTTGTAAGTGCTGGATGAATGCTAACGAAGCCTTAAAGCGTGCAGGACAAGTAGGTGGGATCCTCATTTTGCAGCTGAATAATTAGTATCTCAGTTCCTATCTGCAGAGCCACTTCTGAGCCTTTCGTATAATACTGGGGCTCTGTGTCACTTAAATGTTACCCTAACTTGGGTGGAACCGAAATCTCACAGTTAGCTTGGGGCAAAACTGGGAAGAACTTTGTTAAGCTGTTGGCTCCTGTTTGGTTGTGTATTTGAAATGAAAGAAACAAAAAGAATAATTAAAATACTAGTAGTCTGCGTTCTCCAGGTTGTAAGAGCTCTAAATATGCACCAATAAATCTTTTTATTAGCAGCCATCAGCTACCCGCTTCCATGTAAACAGGGAACAAATTAAAATTAGTTTGAAATGTGATCCTAAAATAGTCAGCACCCAGGAATACCACCAGAATAATTGTTGCAATGGTCTCCCCATATTTTTATGTATTTCCACCATGTGTATGAAGTACACGTCCTGCTTTTCTCTTCCATCTCAAAGGAATTAAATGGCCTTGCACTTCAAATGGCTCGTAGCCAGAGCATTGCATTTTACTCAATTTACTGTGACTGTAACGTTCAGACATTTGGTAGCATGACAGAGAATAAAACCCCCCACCTTTCTGTAGAGAAATCAGTAAACTTTACTGTCGCCAGATTTTTCAAATTCGAGGTTAGGTCTATTGCTTCGTAGCCAGGAATCTTAAGCTAAATGTTGAACTGTCAAAAGAGCTGAACACCAAGACCTGCGAACTGTTTGGTAGACTCTCATATCTGAAAAATCAGGTAGTAGTTTTCTGACTATTAACTAGGTTCTGAATTCGTAAAACCTCTGCAGAGATGTGCCAGTTTTGATCTGATACCTGTCCAATGGAAATCACTGACGTGTGCGGATGCTTCCAGGCATCTGCCGGGTGGACTTAGAAGAAGCCGATTTGAGACTGATAGAAGCCAGCCTGCTTAGACTATAACAGAAAACAGGGGAGGGAGAAGACCAAAGAGAGGGTTTTCTTACCAGAAACTTGAGCGCTTAAGTCTCAAAATGTGAGTAAGTGTGGCTCTGTGCTGACCTCATGCCATGTCCTTTGGCCATTATTCCCCTATGCAAATATTTAATTTTATTTTTAATAAAGGAGAGAGGCCACGGTGTGAAGTTTCAGGAGAGCCAAGTGATGAGGCACTACATCTGTTCTCTCCCTTTCCTCTCCCAGCGCTCACCCCACGGCTGGCTCCTGAGACAGCAGCCTCACCCTGCAGGGAGCTGCCGGTTTTGAAGTGCTGCTTTGCGCTGTTGACATCGTTCTCGCACAGATTTTCTCCTTTGCCACCCACTGCTTTGGGATTCTCCTTCCGGTTGGAAACAAACAAGGGAAGGAATAAATCAATAGATGTATCAAATGGTTTTGTCAAACAGATTAAACGTCGCTTTTTGGTAGTGGAAAGATATTAGGAGTTTTGGGGCATTACCGTGGTTTTAGGAGTCTTAGGGTGGATCTGAGTAGAATAAAGCTTTGTTAAAGAGAGCAGAATGAGTTAATTTAGCCAAAGCTTGGCACCCATGTAACTTAACCTGAATTTGTTTTGTAACTGCACCGTAAATCTGCCGGCAGAGATGAAGTCAAGGTTTCTGTTGTACAGCTGCAGCCGTGTGTATGTGAGAGGAGAACCAGCTGTGTTACCAGAGCAGAAATTACCGCCTCTCTGTGTCCTGTTGATATCTTGCCCCACGGGGCTGTACGCTTATCGCCACCTCTTGCTGTTACTAAGCTTGGTGTTGCCACCATCAGCACATTGATAGAAAATCTCCCTAAATTTCTGATGCTGCCGGAGTGGTTGTTACCTTGCCACAAGGGAAGAGCACAGTTCGATATGAACGCAATGCTTTTGTAAAGCAGTGAAGAAACACCAGGATTTGTTAGCAGTATTTCTGCTTATCCCGCTGTTTGCAGGTTTGCGCTCGTGATCCAGCGTCGTAGCGTAAGCTGCTCTGTTTTGACAAAAAGCACTGTTTCAGAGAGGAGGCAACCGGCCTTTTCTACTCGCCCAGTCGGCCCTGGATGCAGGATGGGTCAAAGAAGAGAGAACCTCTACCAGTGCCCTCCTCCAGTCATGCAGGTGTGCCAAAACCTTGTCAGACACCTATGCGTCACCTCTCCCCGTGGCTTGCTCAGGCTGGTTCGAACTACTTCACATTTAGGTTTTCAGAAGAGCGCAGCAGCCGGCAGCTTCTGCGTAAGTGCCTGAGCAAGTGGCCAGATTTTTCAAGATTTTTTTGCTCTCATTAAGCAGTCTAATGGGCCTTTAAGGCACATTTCAGCGTTTTATCGTGATGCTTAACAGTTTTAGTAGTTAGCCCTAAACGTGTTCTTAGTAGTAAACTGTTAATCATCTTTTCATATCTTAATTTGCCTAAGTCGTACTTTACACTGTGAGTAAATTGACTTATGGGAGTAAATCACTATATCATGTAAATGAGTAGCAAAGTCTGGTCTTCTTTCAGGTCAATTAAAAATGAGGCTTAATGGCTTGGATAACGGCACGGCTGTCTGTACTACACAGGAAAATTTCCTGTATGGCGTAAATTTAGACTGGTGTACGCACAGTGGTTGTCTGGAAAAGAGTTGTTAACATGAGAAACTGGCTTCCGTCTTTCCGTTTTCTTTTGGTGGATTTAACTGAAGGCTTACAAAAACAGCCAATTAAATGCAAACATTGCAATTGTATCGTTCATATTACCTCTGTACGTAGTTAATGGTTGGTTTTTTTTGAACTGCCGGAGAAAGGATCCTTGGCCTGGCTGAAGGGACGCTGCAGAGGAGCTGAGTGCAGGCGAGATGTTTTCATAGGAATGGGGATGACAGGCAGACTTGACTGCTTCTCCAGGGTCCTGCTGATGCTGTTTGGTATCAGGATGGCTGGAAGTCAGTGTTCAGGAGTAAAAGAAAAAGAAGGCTTTGTTTTCCAAGCATCCTACCGAAAGTAATGAGTCCCAAGTGGCTGCTCAGACCTTGGAGAAACTGGCGGGAGAGAAGGAGAAGTCTGGCAAGTGTCCAAGCAACGGGCTAAGGACCTGAGCTGCCTTAGGAAAGCATGGTGGCGGCGTGGGATCATGACCCCGGCGCGGAGGGAATGGGAAAGGGGTCAAGCAGGGGTGGTGAAAACCCTTGCGCATTAGCTGTGGGTGTTCCAGTTGGGTGCACTGATTGAGCGGTGGTGACAGCTATTTCCAAATCTGTTGAACTGTCTGCTTGGTCAGAGTCGTGATGTTTTGGAATAAATGTGACCAGGTAGAGCCTGTTCATACCTGGCCGTGCGCTCAGCGTTTTTGACTAGGTCAGTTTAATTACATCGTAGGCTTTTTAGACCTTTCCTTCCATCTTACAGCCTAACGTAATGAGCACAGTTTACATCATGGTTTTGACATGAGAACTTTTTATTTCCGTGATCCTGCAGACTGAAAATTTTGAAATGTTCCGTTCAACGGCTCATTGGGATTTGGGCACGTCACTGTTTACCTGCATTCCCCATCAGCTCATGGGGTGCTGTATGGTACCGCAGCTGCCTGTCCTGGAGTTGGTCAGCCTCAAGGCTGGCTCAGGTGCCTCCATACAAGCTGTGTTCGGAGCAGTAGCTGCAGTTTGGACAGTCTGAACTTCGTTAGAGAGAAGTTTCCCAGAGAGGCCATAATCGCCTTGAGGTTATTGGAGGTTAAGTCCTATCAATTATCTTGCCATTGGAGTGGATTATTTGCCATGCGTGGCCTTGTCTTTCAACTGTGTGTTTAAAGTTGTGGAATGAGTAGTACCAAAGTTGCGCCTGATAAGTGTGTGGGAGGGAGGGGCGGTCTGTTCCAGAGATTACTCTTCCAGTCTGTCTGTATTGAGTTATTTGAATCATTTGCTGTTGCGTAAAATAGCACACGCCTTGTGCCGTATGGGTCTAATTTAAAACTTACGTTTATTTGCAGAATAACACAATTTGGAAGCCAGATTCTTGCCAAGACTGCCGTTGCCATAGCAATATTGTCACCTGTGAACCTACTGTCTGCAAACACCCTCAGTGTGACTTTCAGAAGGTAAGGGGCTGCAACTGTCCAAATGCCAGCTGACCTGTCCTGCGTGGTGGGAGAAATGTCAAGTCACTCTGGAGCTCCCAGCCTTCCCCTGCTTTAAACCCCTGGAATATCTCGAAATGCTCGTTTGGGTCCGCCGCACTGAGTTGCATTTAAAGGAATGGTGGGAGCAGTTGGGGTAATTGGTCCTGCAGTCCCTGTGGAAGCAAAGCTCCTTTTGTATTGAGAGGGACACAAAAAGGATGGAGCATGAGGTGTTTCCCTGGAGGAACTGGCAGAGGTGAAGCTGGTTGCTTATCTTTGTACACCACGGTGACAGCTGCCGTATCGACCTTCTGGGCTGAGCTCTCTTTGAACCCGAGGGTCTGATTCACAGTAGGATTTGGAGGAAGCAAGAGGGAGCAGTGCAATCCTGTTTTGCCTCCCAGGCTGCGTGTGACTGCCCAGGGTCAGGCAGAGCCTCTGTGCCCTTTCACCTCTCATTGATGCAAACCTGTGCAAAGAAACACATAGGCAAAACCCAGCGTGTGAAGCCTTTGTCTCCTTTGCCCGCACTACAGCCTTGGTGTTGGAAGAGCTTGCAGGCAGCCTGCGCTCCAAGAGCGGTCCGGTCCCCAAAGAAAGCCCCTGAGCTGGGCTTGGACCTCCCAGCATGAGCCCAGCTTCCAGTCACCCTTCATTTGAAGGTTGAGCTGGGTCTCCCTCAAACATGCAGATGGACGCTTTCCACTCTGATGAATAACAACAGAGCTGAGATTGTCTGTCTTTCAGTTTCCTCTGCCTTGTGATGGTTGTTGAGCGTTCATTGTCTCTTGTTTATATTTCTCTGTCTGAGCCTTCATTAAAGGTTACAGCTAATTGGCCGTGGAATTGGTCTTGCATTAGCATCTGCATTACTGGGGTAGTACCCGCCAATGACAATGAAAATTAGTGTTTTAAAGAGGCACTGCCAATATAATTATATGGCTTTATGAAGCAGGTTAAGATGTTTTCCAATGTGACAGCATTAACGAGGAAATAATTTTGATTCCTACCGGTTTTCCCCGTTATTATCACTGTGTATTGATTAAAGCAAGACTGAAGTACTTGGATTTTTTTATACTAAGAGGAGAGAAATAGAAAGAGTGCTGTCGTGGCACACCTAACAATGAGTGCGCTGGATGAGATGTTGTTCATTTTTAAAAAATGGATAAATGAAAAGGTGGCAACTCTAAAGCTTATAAAGGGAAATAGATTTATAGCGTGAAATGAATCTGTGTGACTCCTGGACATGGGTAATACTCAAGACAAAGAGTTTAAGTGTTCCATGAAGGTCTGGCCATTTCAATGTTGAAAAGGATCATCAAGGATCCCAGGAGAAAAAAATCTGATCATCCTTCAAGTATAAACACATCGCTGACGAACAAGGTCAGAAATCACCATTCGTCTCCATTTCTTGTCTGCTTGTTATGAGATTTATGCTAATATTGCTGATCTTGTTTTCAGCGACAAGGCGTAAGCAAAACCAGGCAGTCATTGCAAAAAGCATACCCAGTGGTGTTCTAAACATTTGTGTGTAAAACCTACTGCTGTGCATGCCGAATGCTTTGAGTAGGTGGAAAATCAGCAAACATTATTTCTTTTGTGTGAACCAAACCAAACCAACAACCAAGAACAGTTTCTCCACAGCAGGATCACAGTTGAATCGAGTTTAATTGTTTAAGCTAAGTGAAATGCTTAATTTTGTTTCCCACCTCCTAAAAAACACGGCATTGGAAGAAACCTTCAAGTGAGAAACTTTTTTCAGTTTGAAAAATCACAATGTTTCTTTTAGAAAACAGGGAAAGAAAATTTTGACATTTCAAATTATTCTGGTTGCTTTTATCATACAAACAGAGAAGTGAAAGGTAAGACAATTTTTTGGCATCGCAGTGTCTTCATGCCTCCCTTCTGAGCAGGAATCCCTTACACGTTGGCTGTGCCCTTTCAAAGTGGAAAAGATGTCTCCTGAGAAACACTTTTGCAATATTTTGAAGAAGGTGACCTCGTGGATAAAACTTCTCTACATTTCACTTCCCGAACCTGACGTGTTCTTCTCTGGTTTTGGTTTTCTGTTTTCTCCCTCTCCAGCTCCCATGCTCACATCAGTAAAATTGTTTGGTCCTTTTTATTGGTTATTAGCTGTGGGAAGAAAATGCTGAGATCTGTGGTACCTCAGGTGGTGCCAGGGGCCCTCGTGTGCAGTTGCCACCAGTGACAGACACCCTTGCGAAATAAAATCCTCCAGCAGCTGATGCTGTCCTGTCTGTGGGACGCTGTGCCCAGCCCGGGGTATTCAACATGCAGCGGGGAGGAACGTGAAAGCATTGCTTTGGAGGGTCCACGGGGACATTTTCAATGACAGGAGTCTGGGATCCTTCCCAGCGTTGGCCGATGTCTTTACAGATGTGTTTTGCCCTTCATATGATGAGCTGCTTCCATCAGCGTCATCTTTTTCCCTGCTGCCGAACAGGACGTAGCAAGTGGTCAGCTTGCTAAGCCGCTGGAACGTGCAAAGCAAAGTAGTAGTAGCATCACCAGACTATGCTGTGGTTGGAAGCGGTCAGTAGTTTTCAGTTAATTTTAAAGTAGCGTTACTAAAAAAAAAGGTGGTGATTATTAAGCCAAAGAAGTACAGTTAATGGATGCGCATTCATTCTGCCTGCCAGCTGCGCTGATGGTGTGGTGAAATGTTAGACTGAGATCCATCCTGTACATGTAGAAAACTATCTATTGAAAAAATACATCTATACCGCATTTCTCAGGGGTCCTTCAGTGAATAATCTTGGGGTTTGTCATGAATAACTGTTTTCGATTCTTCGTTCTGGTTTGAGAACTAATTCGGCTGGGGGCTTCCCAATTGTACTGTTAGGGCTGTAAATTCTTCTGCTGTTGTTTTGATGGTAAAATGTCAAATACAGCAGACTGATGTGCCACCTCTCAACAAAGGGATCTGGTGTAGCAGCATTGTATATTTTGCTTAATAGGTTTCCTCTCTAAACTGAGAGCACTGGGTCCAGCAGGGCCCCATGTCTTTACCTTCACGTTAAAGTCTGTATTTCATGTGAACAGCTTATTGGATTCTTGTATCTTTTTAGGGAGAAGTTCTTCAAATAGCCCCCAACAAGTGCTGCCCTGAGTGTGCCTCCCGAGCTGAAGGATTTTGCCAGCATGAAGGAAAGATCCACAGCGTGAGTACTGTCATGTTCCTCGGCAGGGGCAATCCTTTCCAGTTCTTAGGTCTCTGTCTGGTGCACGTCAATGAAGGATGCTTAGCTGACATGCAAGAGAAGGATAGTTAATTGGGCTTAGATTCTGTCACTATCAGATCATGTAATATAACGGGAGTTTGGTCGGCAGGGTTTGCAAAAAGGGAATGTCGCTGAGCAATAGGGTGTCCTGCTTGGCTTAAGGGGAGAAAATTTCCCACTCATTCATTCACTTTGCTGTTTCTGTGGATGATTGAGGCGATATAGTAATATTAGGAGGGGAGCAAAGCACATTGAACTTGACGTATTAGCTGTCCTGAAAGAAGGCTTTTTTCTCAGCAGCCATCTAATGCTGGGTAGAGATTGATTGCTGTTGTGCATTTTGTAATCCTGAATTATTCAAGAAGCAGGTTCCAGGATGTGGTTTCACCTAGGGGGGCTGAAAGGCCAAAACAATAAGAAGAAGTGTCTACAAATAAGAAAAAATTAAAGATTCATGGGTAGTACTTAATGAATCATGTCAAACAATAGGCGAATGTAGAAAAATGGCTTAACAGTGAACCCAAGTCCTATGCCTGGTCTCTTAAAGACTTTTCTGTTTGACAAGAGGCAAGTCAGGTCCACATCTTAAGAAATGTGCTGAAATGCCCAAATACATTTGAATATCTGGACCTTACACTCTACACCTGAGATGGATGTTGTAACCCTCCGTTTCAGCGCGAGGCATGACAGGCATGAATCTGCTACGAGCGAGACAGAGACTGGAATAGGAGGGATAGCGCATCCATCCTCTTTTCCTATTCCTTTGTGCCTGTGATTTGGGTGATACTATATTATGTCATATGACATTATATTTCTTCTTCTTGTTGCTGCATTTTGCTTTGTTGTATTCTTGGTGCAGCTTTTGGCTCTCCCTGAGCCTGTTCTTTGGGATGCAAGTCAGGTGTATAAGCAGGCATCCCCACAGGGATTATAGGCATATTTGTACCTGTAGTCATGTGTCACACCCCAATTCCACCGTGAGTTGGTCATTAAACAATTTTTTTGTCAGTGCAAAGTCTCGTCCTGATGGTTGGCACAGATTTCCTAAAGGAAGAGGTTTTCTGTTTTGTCAGTGAGCCGCTGTAATGCTTTATGACTTGACATTTGTTCTGCAGGTATCTAGCTGGAAACACTGGCCTTAGTGGTAGTACCATCGAGGAAAATCTGTATCCACTATCTGGCAAGAGCCTTTTTACTCCCTGCCTAATTCAGTATTGCAAGTTTTGTGAAAAATAACATTCTGTATCTGTTGGAGAATGTTGCAATACACCAACATGTTTCTTCTTGGGGCCAGTTTTTCCTCACCATGCTGCAGAGTAGACATATTTGTTTCTGCGTTAATGAATAGTGAAATCTAATAAGATTTTACTCCTAGTGAAGTGTGTTAACTATGTGGGGTGGGCGGTGTTCACCTGACCACAAGGTGGTCAGCTGTGTGTTGGGGCCCATGGTGAATATTTCTCTAAAGAAAACACGTCTCTAAATTTAGAGTTTGCGCTACAGAAACTGTAGCGGCGAGGGGGTGTATCCAATAGCCTGGGTCTTTTGCAGTGGGTTGTTGCTGGATGCCACTCTGCAACGGGAAGGAAAATCAGGAAGATCTCCAGCTTTGCTACTTTACCAGTATTAAATTACTTTTTGCCCCAACAAAGCAGCCAGGAGTAAGGGCTATAGCGGGCAAAGATTGTCTGGGCCTGCAAAAGAGTAAAGTTAACACAAGTGGAGAGGGGCTTAAAAGGGAGAATATATATTCCCAGGTCTCGTTGACAGCTGGATTCATGCTTGTGTTTTCTGTGCCTTTGGTTGTGTTGCGCGCTGTAGCACGGCACGCAGTGGGCCAGCTCTGGATGTGTGCGGTGCTCCTGTGCCCACGGGGAGGTGAACTGCAGCCCCGCAACCTGCCCAGCCCTCACGTGTGGACGAGGGGAGCTGCAATACGCTGCGCAGGGATCCTGCTGTCCCAAATGTGTGGGCCTCGGCGGTGAGTATTGCATGTGAATGGGGGCACTGTCTGCCTTCAGTGATCCGAGCAGTAGGTCACTGGAAATCTCCTTTTGGTCCCAAATCTGGAAAGCTTTTCTTTTCTTGTTAAGTTCTTCTGGGAAGACACTGGTGTTCTCTTTCTGTCCTGCTACCATATTTACATTTTTAACAGCTTCACCCGTAGGCTAAGAGGAAGTGATCAGCTTTAAGCAGTGAGCAGATGTGCGTAGTATGTCCTTATTTTGCAGACTAAAATCTGGAGAAAAAAAAAGATGCACATATTTCCTATGTACTGAGGGCGGCTTTGGCACTTGCAGGCTCGGACTGCAAGTTCCAAAAATGCCTGAGCTATGGTATACCTTTTCTCATAGAAAGTCTAGTTGGAGAAGTGCATTCAGAGCTCTTAATTCACAAATCTAGAGTAGAATTGTTAGCGTCATACCTACTTTGGCAGGCCAGAATTTTGAATTCTGAGCTGCACAAAATCTGCATTTTGATTACGGGTGTCAGAAAGGGAGTAAAGGGCATCGGAAAAGAAAATTACCCATTGTTTTCTTACCTTTTAGAGCCTTGCTCCTTTGATGGACGCGTCTTCCAGGATGGGGAGGACTGGCGCCTTGGTCGGTGCTCCAAATGCGTCTGCAGGGACGGTGCGATTCAGTGCTTCACAGCTTCCTGCCAGCCGCTACTGTGCAACCAGGTCAGGACCCATCGGCCTTCTGGGGACGTTACTCATGACTGTGCTCTCTCCCTTGGCAAGGGCCGTTTCTCACGCAGATGTAGAAATCAGCAGGCAAATCTCGTGTGTGACAAGTGGGTGATTTGGAAAAGGGAGTTTTGATGTGTGGAAATGATGTGGAGTGCTGGTTAAGTCTGTCAGTATACACGTGCTGTCTGTGTCTTCCCTGATACTTTCTTTCCCCACCATTTTACTCTTACCATGTCTTTGCTGGCTAATTAAGCATAAATTCTGCCTAAAGAAACTGCTTTTTGGTTTATACTAAAGAAATTACATAGGGATGATCAGGAAATGTTTTTATTTCTGTGAGGGAAGGAATGAAAACACAATATTTTTAATGTTTCAGTGTTTGGTTTGCAGCTAAAAAGTTTGGTTTGCAGGTCTTGTTTACTTGTTTTTTTTTTTCTCACAAGAACTCTAGAAATACAGTTGAAAGTGGTCAAATAGGGATGAAATTCCCCTTTTGACTTAGAGTTTAGAAATGCAGGACAACCTCAGCTGAAAGAAAAGTCTCAGAGCACTATTTCTTACATGTGCTTGCGTTTAGAAATAACAAAACCAGTAAGATAAGTTAGGCAAGCTCACGTAGTGACTGACAGTTTTAGTCCAGTTGACAGAATGGGGACGTTGCTGTCTCTGAGGTCTTTGCTGTGGACAAATTACGCGTTCTTAGCACTTACACAGTGCGTAAACCCAACCAGAACACCGCAAGATTATACACAGTGTTAACACAGGGGTTAGTAAAGGCAGCAAACCACAGGCAGTACTTCACACTCTGTACAAGTGACTCAATTTTTTTAATTCTTGTTTTTATATTGGAAGTGCTTAAGAGTGTGACTATGCTCTTTGGGTGTTTTTTCATTGGGCCCACTGTACCAGTTTTCTTGGGCACTTTGCTCTACTCCTTTGCAACAGCATGCCATGCTAAGGAAATGCAGGAACTGGCTCCTGGAATTCCCTCTTTCTGACATTGGCTTTATGTTTTAGGGGCTGCCGTTTCCCAGATATTTTTTAATCTATTGCCATGCTCCAACAATAAATCCAGAAGCTCCCTCGAAATGTGTGTTCTGGCTGAGCACACTTCCCTGTAGCACTGAGAAAAACAAAAGCAGTAGTCATCAACTTTTTTTTCCTGTTGATGCTTACCTAGCTTTCTCTTACTGGACCAGGTGTTTGTGCAGTTAACCCCCCCTTTTTTTTTTAATAGAGGGAAAACCCACCTGTTTCTATGCATGCTAATTGCGTTTTGCTTTGTCCTGAAATACTCAATTAGTATTCCTTGACTAAGTACTGTGCATTAAAACAAATTTATGCCTGCTTTAGATTCCTCCTTTCCCACTCCAAATGGACTGATGTTACCTGCTGCCTGATTGCACTAATGTTTAATCAGCTAATCATTAGGATTTAATTTGTGGAAACAGAAGCAACTGTGTTGTTGCTGTGATGTATCTGAGAATAATTGGCTGAGAGCATCCAAGTTAATGCAGCAGAAAGCCAATTCTGATGGTGTTCCAGATATTTCCTGCCAAGGTGCCTGGTGGAAGGGACATTAGCAAGGATGTGCAAGGATCCTGTTCTGCTCTCAATCATGCCCAATATTTTCTGGCATGCGCCTTTATCTCTCTCACTTTCTTCATTCTCCACTCCCTGTCAATAGCAAATACATAAAATCTCCCAGTATTAAACTCTCGTCTTCCATCTTTCAGATAACTGTGCCCTTCCCTGGGCGCTGAGGGAGAGGAACGTCAAAAATGCTTGCTGCACGCAAGAGTGCACCTGAATGTCCCACCAAAATCCAGGAAAGAGTTCTTTTAACTCTGCTGGAAAATCCATCATTGATAACTTTTATACAAAGTCTTCCACTCTTTCTTTGAAAGCTAGTGATTTGAGTAACAAAGCCGATGGCATAATAGCGCTTGGCACTTCTACACTACTTTCGGTCCACGAGTCACTCTTCTGGTCATGCTGAGGTGGCTGGAGGGAGATGTTGGTCAACAATACTATTCCAAACCATTGGATGTACGTGAAATTGTGGCAGAGGAATTACAAAGATGTTTTAGATGGATGGAGTTGAGGCATGCGGGAACTCTTATATTGATATGAAGTGCCAACCTATTCCAGTGTGATTTAAATCAGTCATGAAAAAAGTTTAAATTAGGGTAATCCACCTTTAAGCATAATTTAGCACCTGTACAGACAGTTATGCTGTATGGATTTAACTAAAGCAGTGCAAATGCCTGAGAGACGGTGAGTGTAAATCACATGTTCAAAGCTTCAAAATGTGGCAGTACCAGGAAAAAAAGCTCTTCTCTCTTCGTCTCATGCTTTACTGCGCTTCTCTACATAGCTTTATGTATACTTTTTCTTTCTCTGTATATCTGTATACCTGAATAAATGTAATCTATCTCGTGTGTGTGTGTGTGTGTGTGTGAGTCCCCTTATCTGCATCTATACACCTGTCTATGTATTTGGAGCTTAATTGCCATCCAAAGAGGCCCAAAAAATGAGATGAAGGAAATATCTTTCTTTCTAGCTTCCTACACTGATCTTATGCTGTGAAGTCTGCCCCCAGATATTGGAGCCAAAACGAAGCCTTGAGGGACTGTGGGTTATCACACAGATACTAAATGCCTGGAATTCCAGGTGCTGATGCTGAGCCCCACGTTAACTGTTCAGGCTCTTATTTTACTTGTCTCTCCTGCTCTCTGTTTAGGATGAAGTTATGGTTACGCGTCCTGGAAAATGCTGCCCAGAATGCGTGCCAAAGCCCTGCTCGGTGTCAGGAAGAGTGTACCAGGTAACTTTTGATGACCCACA